GAGGATTGCTGTGAGTTCGAGACCAGCCTGGGCTACATAGTGAGTTCCAGGTCAATCTCAACTACGTAGTCTCAAAAAAACAAAACAAACCAAAATCAGAATTCAGGACCTTGCACTTGCGAGGCAGACGGAAGCATCATTGAGCTAAATCCTAGGCCCCTGGTTTGTTAGTTTGTTTGTTTATTTGTTTTTTCAGACAAGGTCTTGCTATATATTTCAGACTGGCAGACTGGCTTTGAATGCACTGTGTAGCCTAGGTTGGCCTGGAACTCGCAGCAATCCTCACCCTTCCAAGTGCTAGGATTACAGGCATGTACCACCACACCCAGCTTGTGTATATTGTTAAAATTTAGAAACAGCATTATTGTAAGTTGTAATTCATGTCATACTCATTTACAGTGTATAGTTTAGGGGCTCAGTATCACATAGCACATGATTACTATGAGCAAGGCCCTGGGTTTGATCCCCAGCACCAAAAAAAAAATACAACTCATTGTTTTAGTACAGTTGTGCAACCATCACCACATCTTTTTTATAACATGTCAGTCACCCCATAAAGAGACCCATACTTTTTTATTTATTTATTTATTTTTTTGGTACCAGGGTTCGAACTCAGCACGTTGCGCTTGCAAGGTGGGCGGTGGAACCACTGAGCTAAATCCCTGGCCTGAAACCCCATACTTCTTAGCAGTCGCTCTGTATTTTCTCCCAGCCATCCTCCCCAACAATCCTAACAACTATTAATTTGCTTTCTATTTGTACAGTAAATATACTTATTTCGGACATTGTATATAAAGAGTAATACACCATCTGGTGTTTTGGGACTGACTTCAGGTAGCATGTTTTAGGTCTGTCAGTGTAATACAGACCTTTCTTTTTATTGTGATAATGCTATGAACATTGATGTACAAGTTTTTGTATGGACATATTTTCATTTCTGTTAGATGGATACCAAGGGGTGAAATTACTGGGTCATGTGATTTAACTTTTTTGTGGGGGGAGTTTGAAACAAGTTCTCACTATGTAGTTGAGACTGACGTGGAACTTACTATGTAGCCCATGCTGATCTTGAACTCGCAGTGATCCTCCTGCCTCAGCCTCCCGAGTGCTGGGATTATAGGCATGTGCCACTGTGCCCGGCTTAGTATGTTTAACTTTTTTTTTTTTTTTTGGTACCAGGGATCCAACTTGGGTCCTTGCCCTTGTGAGGCAGGCAGCGGAACCACTGAGCAAAATGTTAAATCCCTGGCCATATGCTTAACTTTTGAGGAGCTCTCAGACTGCTTTCTATAGTGCTATGCCAACTTTATATTTCCCCCAGCAGAGTTCTGATTTCTCCACATCTTCACCAACAGGTGTTACTGACTTTTTGTTTTTTTCTGGCAGTATTGGGAACCCAGGACTTTGTTCGTGCTAGACAAATGCTGTACCACCTGAGCTACATCCTCAGTCCTTTCTTATCTTGAGACAGGATCTCACTAAGTTGTCCATGTTGGCCTTGGACTTGAACTTTATCTTCTTGGCTCAACCTCCTGAGGAACTTGTGATTGCAAATGTGTGCTACTGTGATTTTTTTTTTTTTAATAAAGCCATTCTAGTGTGTATGGAGTACTTCATTGAGGTTTTGATTTTACTTCCTTGATAGCTGCTTATGTTGAACAACTTTTTATGTACTGAGTGACCATTTGTATGTATTTGAAGAATCATCTATTTACTTATTTTTGTTTTTGTTTCTGTTTTTTGGTACCAGGATTGAACTCAGGACCTTGCACTTGTGAAGCAGGTGTGGTACCACTGAGCTAAATCCCTGTCCACCAAATTGTTTTGTTTTTTGACACAGGGTCTTCCTATATCGTTCAAGGCTGGCCTTGAACTCACAGTGATCCTCCTGTCTCAGCCTCCCAAGTGCTGAAATTATAGGTGTTTGTCACCACACCTGACCTTAGATAAAATACTTTTGATCCTATATCTATATAAATTTACAGATTATATACTTAAGCTACTAACCCATATACAAAAAATAAAAGGCACATTTTCACAGAAGAGTTAATGAGCAAATAACTGAGTACTGTGGCTCATGCCTGTAATCCCAGTACTAAGGAGGCTGAGGCAGGAGGATTCCATGAGTTTGAGGCCAGCCTGAACTACATAGCTAGACCCTATCTTGAAAAACAAAAGAAACAGGGCTGAGGATTTAGTTCAGTGGCACCGTGCCTGCCTGGCAAGCTTGAGGTCCTGAGTTTGATCCCTGGTACAAAACCCAAGAAATAAAACAGCAACAAAAAAGTGAGCAAACATTCTGATGATTCCTTCCTAGCCTGCAGGTCTTATTTGCTCTCCGGGGTGGGATGTGTCACTGAATATGGTAATGCTGAAGAATTTCTGCATTACTTAGAGGATTGTGCCTTGGGTTATGGCAGCCCCTTCTCACGGGGGACCCTCACACAAGGACCCTACCTAAAATCTCTGGGGGGTGGGGTGGGGTTTTCAGTGTTGCCTGGTTTACTCACTGGTGAATCTTATTGCTACAGGTACAGGTGCAGGTGCAGCAGTCCCCACAGCAGGTCTCGGCTCAGCAGCTCTCCCCACAGCTCACCGTTCACCAGCCTGCCGAACAACCCATTCAGGTTCAGGTGCAGATCCAAGGACAGGCACCGCAGTCAGCAGCCCCTTCCATCCAGACCCCATCTCTGCAGAGCCCCAATCCTTCACAGCTGCAAGCAGCCCAGATCCAGGTGCAGCATGTGCAGGCGGCTCAGCAGATCCAAGCGGCTGAAATTCCAGAGGAGCACATCCCACATCAGCAAATTCAGGCTCAGCTGGTTGCTGGCCAGTCTCTTGCTGGGGGTCAGCAGATCCAAATCCAGACTGTGGGTGCCCTTTCCCCACCACCATCCCAGCAGGGCTCACCTCGGGAAGGGGAGCGCCGGGTTGGTACGGCCAGTGTCCTCCAGCCAGTGAAGAAGCGCAAAGTGGACATGCCCATCACTGTGTCCTACGCCATCTCAGGGCAGCCTGTGGCCACCGTGTTGGCTATTCCACAGGGCCAGCAACAGAGTTATGTGTCTTTGAGGCCAGACTTGCTGACAGTAGACAGTGCCCACCTGTACAGTGCCACTGGGACCATTACTAGCCCTACAGGAGAAACTTGGACCATCCCTGTTTATTCTGCCCAGCCCCGGGGGGACCCTCAGCAGCAGAGCATTACCCACATTGCCATTCCCCAGGAGGCCTACAACGCAGTTCACGTCAGTGGCTCACCTACAGCCCTGACAGCTGTAAAGCTGGAGGATGACAAGGAGAAGATGGTGGGCACCACATCTGTAGTGAAAAACTCCCATGAAGAGGTAGTGCAGACCCTTGCAAACTCGCTCTTTCCAGCACAGTTCATGAATGGCAACATCCACATTCCAGTCGCTGTGCAGGCTGTGGCAGGCACATACCAGAATACGGCTCAGACTGTCCATATATGGGATCCCCAGCAACAGCCACAACAGCAGACTCCCCAAGAACAGACGCCGCCACCACCACAGCAGCAGCAGCTCCAGGTTACTTGTTCAGTAAGTGAGACATCTGTAGGGCATCTTGTTGATTCAGGTCATAATGCAACACAGAACTTGCTAAAACCTCTGGTTTATTTACTGACATGTTAGTCTTACAGTGATAAAGTATTTAGTATTTAGGGGAAGGAGGAGAAGCAGTTAAACAAACAAGACGTATATCCTAAAAAAAAAAAAAGATAATTCCTGATAAATTGGATTTTCTCACATAGCAAGGTTGAACTTTTTTTCCTGTTTCAAAATTTTAGATTTAAAGAAAAACTGCCATAATAGAATTGTGTTGGAATTCTAGCCTTAAAATTGCTTAAGTCTTTCCTAACTAGTAGTTTTGTTTGTATGTTTGTTTTTGTTTTTGTGAGACAGGGTCTCGCTATGTAGTTCAGGCTGGCCTTGAACTCTCTGTGTAGTTAGTCCAGGCTGGCCCCAAACACTCTACGATCCTGCTGCCTCAGCCTCCTGAGTGCTGGTGTGCACCGTCATGCCTACCAATTTTATTTGTTTGTTTTTTTGGAACCAGGGATCGTTGCCTACCAATTTTAAAGGTAGCTCAAGAGATGTGAGTAGGTTAATCTTTTTATATTGTTATAAATTTTCCACTTCAGTGTATAGCAGACTTTACAATGGGATGCAAAGGACAGAAGTTATAGCTCAGTGGTAGTATTCTTTCCTAGCATCATGAGGAGCCCTCCTGTATTCAGTCCTCAGCCCTGCCAAAAAAAAAAAAAAAAATGCATGGAACCTGGATGTGGTGGTGCACACCTACAATCCCAGCCCTTGGGAGGCCGAGGCAGGAGGATTGAGTTTGAGGCTAGCCTATAGTACATAGTAATATAGCAAGACCCTGTCTCAAAAAAATAGTGGTATATTGACTGCCTGGTCTCATGATACTGCTAAAGGTGGGCTTGTGGGACTGCATGTGAGGAAACAGTTAACAAATCAGATGAGGGACTACACTGAGAAACTCAGGCCATGGAAGATTGATTAAACAAAGTCTAAATTAGTTTCCAAACAGTAATATATTAGGTGACTTTGTTAAAGACCTACTAAATGCTTTTGTAAGGCTTATAAGTAAAATGAAGTAGTCCTTGTTTCAGGTACCTCAGAGTCTAGTTGTGAGAATAAGAATTTTGATGATTTCTCTCGTTTTGAATTATTTATAAGGCAGCATAATAAAAATGATATTACACACAAGCTAATTGGGAATTTAGAAATTCTGGATTAAAGTGAGAGGAGTGGGGAAAGTGAGGTTTATGCTAATTAATACAAATTTATACTAATTATACTAATTAATAATTTAGATTGACAGAAGACTGGACAATTAAATATGAAAATGGACCATAAGAACACAGCCTAGGGCAACATGACAGGGAAATAGTGGGAGAGTAGTTATTATGGGGAATAGAGAGTGTAGTCTTTCCAAAGCAAAGATGAAGTAGGTCTGTCTATGTGGGAAATCTAAAATTTCTGGGTTTGTTAGAGTTATGTAGAATTGATTTCATTGAGCAGAAACCACCCAGGACATTTGTTTGGGGCTTTGTACTAAGCCTGTGTGTCTGGTGGAGGGTGTGTGTGTGTGTGTGTGTGTGTGTGTGTAATGAAGGCCTTTGCTCAGAGCTGCATCTCTAATACTTTCTATTTATTTATTTAGAGACAGGGTCTCATTAAATTGCCCAGGCTAGGCTCCAACTTGCAGTCCTCCTGTCTCAGCCTCCCAGAGTGCTGGGATTACAGGCGTGCACCACAATTCTCATTTCTGTGCTCAGCTTTTGAGCACAGGGATGGTGCATATTAGACCTTCTCTTATTTCTCCTGGGTCCAATGGTCCAGTTTAGTTGCAGGTTAGGTCTCTTTTGGTACTTACTGTTTTTTCCTTGTAATTTGCATGTTTGGAAAAAATAGAAGGGGAAAATCTTTTCTGTAGTTTATTTTAGTGGGTCCAAATTCTTCAGAAAATGTCACTGAATAGAATTATATAGGGATTTATGTTAAGTATTACTAGGAAAAGAAAAATCAGCAAGAATAACTCATCATGAAGAAAATAAGAGTTTAAAAAAAACCACTCCAATGTGGAATACAAATAAATTTTTTTTAAAAAGAAAGAATAAGAGTTTATTGTATACAGTATGGACCCTTATGAATTCAATTGGTTCAGAAGGGCTGGTTGTAACTCAAGTTGGTTGTAAGTCAAGACTTCTTCCCATAAGAAATAATGGAAATAGTGTGTTCCGAATCTCCCAAAGCATTGTTGTTTAGAAAGAGATTCCCCTTCCTTAAGAACACCTGGAGTCTGGCTCTCTTGTGTCCTTTCCTTGGGAAAGTCAGTAGCCCACTAGGACCTGCTTCTGGCTCACTAAGGTCTCAACCTTTTCAGAACTAAAAGCTGGACTAAGGTTGTCTGTTTCTGTTTTTTCTTTAACTCTGTTCTGTAGCATGATGTGACAGTGCATTAAAAAAGTGAATGCAGAGATGGGCTTTTTCTCTCTCTGGGTGGATCTTCTCTACAAATGTTTGTAGCTCTGTCCATTTGTTCAGGGTTTCCTTTATTTTAGAAGAGGAACTTTACTGCAGTGATTGTTGACACTCCCCCTCCTCTTCAGAAAGCTCCTCATCTGCCATTTCCGCTTTTGTTTTTGGTGGTACTGGGAATCGAACTCAAGACTCTTTGCTTGCAAGGCGTGTGTGGCACCGCTGAGCTAAATCCCCAGCCCAGCTGCCATTCTCTTGCTGAGCCAGAAGTTGCTGAAGTTCCTCTGTAGACAGTTCCTCTGAGTGTTCCTCCACCAGTTCCTCAGCATCACCACTGTCTACCTGCAAGCCTATGGACTCCGCTGTAGTGACACTGTCATCACCCACAGGGTCAGTTGAAGGTTCAGGCTCCTCTACACGGCCTTCAGAGTCTCCTGTATAATTTTAGGGCACACTTTCTTCCAGACAGATCACAGGGTCCTTAGAGAGATATTTCTCAGTTAATTGAGGATTCCTCAGTTAACCCCACACAGGAAAGAGTGGCATTCAGGTCATAACTCAAGACTTTGGTCATAAGCTAAAAGTAAAATTCCAGTTGTAACCCAAGTTGTTCACATGTGAGGCCGCTTATAACTTCAGGTTCCACTGTATTCCACAGGTGTGCCTCTTCCCTCTTAGTAAGCTCTGGGGAATTGAGATAAATAAGACAACCTCTTCCACCTTTGGACTGCTTGCAAACCATGCAGAAGAGAGTTTTGCTGTGAGAGGAATTTTTAAAAGCTGGTGACACAGTGTGCTCCCTCCTCTATTGTGGATTGAGGCACAGGGAGGGCTGTACCTTCTATGAAAGTGTTCCATTCTTCTGTCTTTAAAACCAGGTATATGGCCAAACCTCCCTGCATCTTTCATACATTGCCTCATTCCTCTGCTGTACTTTATTCTTAGAAGTCTCAAAAACATTGGCACAAGCTGGTTCCACTTGCATCCACTTTTCTTTCTGTTTTTTTCAGAGTCTTGATTTGTTGCCCATGCTAACCTTATCCTGGCCTCACTGGGTCCTCCTGCATCAGGCTCCTGTGTAGCTGGTACTGTGGTTAAGTACTACTACACCTAGCTTCAGTTTTATTCTTGATTCATGTCTGAATCTGTTCTTGTCTGATGACAGTGATGTTCTGTGGCCAAATTAGGCCTATTTGTTTGTTTTTGTTTTTTTAGTATCAGGGATCGGGGCCTTGCATACCTGAGGCAGGCATTGAAACCACTGAGCTAAATCCCCGGCCCATGGCCTATTTGTTTTTTTATCTCACAGCAGTACACAATACAAGAGATCAAACTTGAGCCAGGCATGGTGTTGCACACCAAATAGCCAAATACTCAGGATGCTGAGGCAGGAGGGTCACTACAAGTATGAGGGCAGCCTGGGCCACCTAGTGAGCTCAAGGGCAGCCTAAATACATAGCAAGACCCTGTCTCCAAACAAAAGAGCACACCTACTTTGTTCAAACTTTGTGGGCTTCCACGTTATTATACAGTCTTGTTTCTCCTCCTTCTAAGTCAGTTCTTCCTTCCCAGAACCCTTACTCATGTCTTCCCCTCTCTGAATTTTAGATATTGATGTTTCTCAGGGTCTAGTACTGGTGGCCTTTTCACCCTAAGTAATTAGTGCTCATTGCCATGGTTTTCAATATCTTCTAATGACTCTTGCTGCTGCAAAAACTAATTAAGTGATACTTGTCTGCCAGGCCCTCTTCTCTATGGTTTAGATGTATTAATTCACTTAAAAGCTAGGTGTAATATCACACACCTGTTTTCTCAGCGCTCTGGAAGTTTGAGCCCATAATATTGTAAGTTGGAGCCCAGTCTCGGCAATTTAGCAAGACTCTCTTGAAAAATAAAAAGAGTTGGAAGTATAGCTCAGTGCAAAGGTCCTAGCCTCCATACTTAAAAAAAAATTAAAATTTTACACCAACCTCCTGCAGTATGTACAGAGTAGGAAACTGAGGTATACGGAAAGTTACGAGAAGCCAAAAGTCAAGGTTAGTAAGTAACTAGAATTAGGATTCAGCCTTGTACAGGCTGGCTGGACTCTCTTAACCCCCATAGGGCATTGACACAGATGTAAATTTCTCAGCTACATCTTACCCCCTTAGGACCTTTTCTACAAATTTGACTGACTATGTATCATTTACTTTGGTTTTGTTTTGTTTTTTGAGACAGGGTCTCACTATGTAGTTGAGACTGACCTGGAACTATGTAGCCCATGCTGGTCTCGAACTCACAGTGATCCTCCTGCCTCAGCCTCCCGAGTGTGGAATTACAGGCATGCGCCACCATGCCCGGCCTTATATCATTTACTTTGATTTATTAGCCTTATTATCTTTAGTAGCACCACTGTCAAAAATTTTCCCTTCTTTGGCCAGGGATTTAGCTCTGTGGTGGTGCCGCCTGCCTTGCAAGCGCAAGGTCCCAAGTTTGATTCCCCAGTACAAAAAAAAAAAGTAGAAAAATTTCCCCTTTTCAATCCAGTTGTTGAA